ACTGGAAATGGACTGGCACAATTCACTTCACATGTAGTTGGTTAGGTTATGGTTTAGTGTTTTGTCTAAACACAGCCAGACCCTGACAACTGCCCAAAGCCTTGGAACTAGTACCATTCTGAGTAAACAATAATGAATATACTCCACTCACTATGACTACTATAAAAAACAGATGTATAAGAAAACGGAGACAACACCACTCATGACTGGAGTTCTGTTGTTTAGGGTTAGGGATGAGCCCACTGCGCTGGTCCAAAGAATATTTTATAATTCTTATCAAAAACTGGAACTGAAACCAGGTGCCAGAATGATGAACGGGTGACTTTTAATATATATTTATCCTATATTAGCCTCCTTCATACAATATGCTAAACTACAGACTATTCATACAACATGCTGTCCCAGAGCCAAACCAATAAAGTGGAACTTTACCTAATGTTAGGCAGAAATGAATTTATTTCAACCTGGATTCATTATGTTACCCAGTGCAGACAGGAAATGTTATTCTGCAGATTTAGACACATTATTATCCTCAACATGTTCATGCTCTACAGGTAGGCAAGACATTGGTTGATTGATATACCATCAGGTTGATGTTGAATCTTAGTGTGGTGGTATGTAGGAATGACCTTGGGAGATAGGAGAAAGACTGTTGCCTAGGCTGCGGTCCTCCTATCTCCCAAGATCATTCCCACATCCCATCACACTTAATGACCACATAGATTGATTTTCTCCATGATCATCTGTCCCCCAACTCATTCCTTCAGATCTTCCAGTAGTGTACCCATCATCATTATAATTGATTTCATTCACCTTTCTGCTGGTGGTCCTCCTTGTCTTTCCTTCCGCTTTTCCCAGCATTACAGACTTCTCCAGAGTTTGATCTTCACATAATGTGTCCAAAGTGTGATAATTTGAGCCTGGTCATTTGTGCCTTGAGTGAGAAGTCTGGGTTATTTGATTATCCATTTTGTTTTGTTTTGTTTGGCTATTCATGGTATTATCAGGAAACTTCTCCAACACTCAAAAGTGTCAACACTCTTCATTATCCTGCTTCTTTAGAGTCCAACTTTCAGTTCCATAGAGTGATTGTTATAGGTATGGCACCTGAATACCTGAATATCTTTTGCAAGGCTTTCATTACTACTCTACCAAGTGCTAGTCTGTGGTGTATTTCTTGACTGCTGGTTCCTTTACTATTGATAGTTGATCCTAAAAGGCAGAAGCTATCCACTATTTCAATAGCTTGTCATTTCTAAGGTGGTTGCTGTACCTGTTGTCACTAGTTTTGTCGTCTTTATATTTAATCTTAGTCCCATATTTTTCATTGTATTCGTTGACTTTCATAACTAGAGCTTGCAGATCATTTCCATCAGGATGATGCAGGTTATTGATGTTTCTTCCTCCAATTTTAAAACCACATTCATCTTTTTCCAATCCATCTTCCCTCAATATATATTCTGCATATAAGTTGAATAAATAAGGTGAAATATACAGCCTTATTTCACTCCTTTGTCTGTTCTGCCATGTTCTGTCTGTACTGTGGCTTCCTGACTTAGGTATAGGTATCACATGAAGACAATGAGTTGTTTTGAGATTCACATTTTTAAAGCACATTCCACAGTTTGAGATGACTGATACAATCAAAGGCCTTTCTTTAATAATGAAGTACATACTGATTTCTTTTTGGTATTCTTTGGTTTTCTCAACTATCCAGTGTGGTGTTACATTTCCTTTCTTTCTATTGGCCACTGTGTTGGTCTCCAGATTTGCTGGCATAGCTTGATCAGAACCTTTACTGATTCTCCTTCTATTGCTTGCCACATTTCTGTAAATATTCCATTAATTCCTGTAGCCTTATTACTTGTTAATAACTGAAGTGATAATTTAGCTTCATCTTCTAGTACAAGAGGTTCTGTAAGTAGGGAATATCTTCTATGGTATATTGGATGTTGACATTTCTACTGTACAGAATTTCAGTATACTCCTTCCATCTTTGATCTTCTTTGAATCAGTTACACTCTGTCCATTGGTGTCCTTTAGTATACCAGTTTGAAATTGGAATGTTCTTCTGAGTTCAGAGATCTTTTAGAAGACTTGCCTTGTTTTTCTGAGTCCATTTCCATCTTTGATACCTTTACAGATGTTGCTGTAATATTCTTTCTCTTCTAAAAGCTCTCTGAAATTTTTTGTTATGATCCTTCTTGAGATCTTTGCCGTTACTGAATTTGGCTTCTCTTCTTGGCAATTTCCATTGTTTGTTCTGACAACCAGTTTGCTTTCTTCTGTTTCTTCATCTTTGGCAGTCTCTTTTTACATTAATCTTTAATGACTTCTTTAAGTTTAATTCCACAGTTCCTCTGGTTCTCTGTCAATGAGGTTCACAATTTTAAAGTGATTCCGGATGTTCTCCCTGAAAATGATGGATATATGCTCAAGATCACATTGTGGAAACTGGTTTGCTTTTTCTTCTGCTTTAGCCGAACTTGGGACTTGCACATAAACAATTTGTGATCTGTTCCACAGTCAGCCCCAGCCACCTCTTTGCTGTTGTAACTGAGCTCTTCCACCTCTTTTTACCAATAATATAGTCAATAGGCAAGGCAATACACAGGGACAAAAAAAAAAAATATTGCGGGAAGGTAAGGTATTCTTTTCTTTAACCATAGTAATCCCAACCCCAAATGGGTCACTACCTATTTTTGTCAAACAATTTTTAAATGATTTTTTTAGGATGTAGTGTTACCTAGCAGCATCTCCAGAGATAGCCAAGATACCAGCAAAACCCAGCTGACCTTGACTTAGATATACACTTCATATTAAGTCATAATTTAACCATAGTTCTTGAATAAACTACAGTTGGCTAGATCTGTGCAGTTTGATAAGGCATAAAATGTGAATTACAAACTGCAGGAGCTTGATTCACATATCTAAGGCAAGACCAAACCATCTTGTGGCTTTTTACATTGTGTAACCTCAGTACAGGAGGAAGCAGCACCACAGGGGATCCCCCCCCCCAAAAAAAACAAAGCCAGGGGAAAAGAAATGCACTTGCTGTTGCAAATAATCTTTGTGTCACTAAACCCATTTGGAAGCCTACCAATTCCTGAGTTATTATCATAGATTTGGTATCCTTGAAGTAAGGCTAACCTATTCCAAAATGTGTTTGAATGATTTGCAAACTGCATGTGGATTTTTTCTTTTCTTTTTTCTTGTTAGTTTATGAGCCAGGATCTAATGTGTCATGTGAATTCAGCCACTGTAGTTTATTTAATAATCTCTAATTATCTCAAAGTGAAGACAAGGCCACATTTAAAATCTGAGTTAAAATACTTAGGAAAAGTATAATGCTAAAAGTTCATCTAGTCATCAAGATTTTCTTTACTCCCAGAATTACCACAGAATATACATAACAGGCATTTATTGCCAATCCATTGCTCTGCAACACATGTGTTTTATAATACCTAAGATTTTCATATATGTTTAGATTTTAAAAAATCAAGTACTCTGTGAAAAGAGCAGGCATTTGTGTTCTGCTAAGAGACTTCATTAATATAATTTTTGTGCTTTACTTTTGCTGTTTCTTATTGGGTTACTTATTTTGTTCATTTTTAAGATTCTAATCTGTTCGTTCTGGCCAAAATTCCTTAGCTATATCACTAAGGCATGATGGTATGTGAGAAAGCTGCAGTTTAGTGGTAGATGAACTTTGTATTTAAAAAATGTCGAGTTGACTCCTGCTGACTACCCTGACACACCCATGTTATTTTCTGGGCAACAGTACAGAGGTGGTTTGCCACTGCCTTCTTCTAGGATGTTTTTTCCCTTCCCAATCTAGCCTACAGCCTTGGTTAATTCCTGGCATGGGCAGTTAAACAAGATTTCTAGGAGCAGAACAGGAAACCATCTTGGGCCAGAGGGAGCCTTGGCATGAGTTTAATGAGGTTGTTTCAGATATAAAGGTGCAGTCCATGCATGCTTTCTCGCTGTGTTGGGCTTTAGGGTTTAGTGACCATGGTCTAGACAACAGATTTCCTGATGTTTTTCCAGCATCTTCAGAGGCAAGGTGGTATGCTATGCAGACCACAGGCAACTGAGCAGGGACTGACGGGGCTCGTGTCTTTATAGCCAGGAGTGCTGACTTCTGATTGGTCTTTAGCCAAGCTGGTTTCTGATTGGTGCAGGTTGGTGAGCCCTCCTATTGTCTAGACCATGGTCACTAAACCCTGAAGCCCAATACTGCCCGATATATAGCTGTGTCCACACAATGTCCTTACCTAAAGTTAACTTAATCATAGTTTACTCAACTCATTTCTGAATTTGCATGATGTACTAAAGAAAAATTAATCTCATGATCTGGATTTTTAGAACATGTTGGACTGAAATATGACTAGCTAATCTGTGGTTCAATGAGTTGTGTGAACACAACCTAAGAAGAAGAAAACAAACATATAGGCAGCAGAGGCAATAATATCTATTCAATCCAGGTAGCGAGGACCTCTTAATCTGAGCACTTCCCTCCTTTGGCTCTGGAACTATTCACTATTATTGTGAATATACTATGTTGTGAAATATATAAATATAGGTACACAGGCAATATTTCCACAAATAAGCTGGAGAATGGCTTAAAGCCATCCATCAAAAGCATTTGCTTAGTTAAACCCTTCAGGGATATCAACAGCATAAACAATGATATATTTAGCTGCAACATACAATCAAACTCCGAATATCAGATTAGCTTATTTTGATTTACCATGGAAGTATGCATATCCATATCACAAATTAATAGTTGTCCATAACACTTATGGACAGAATGAATCCCTTATCTCCATTAATCTGATTAGTACTTAAAACTATTGAATTATGATCATGCAGGATGTTCCCACCTAATATTTTAATGGATTTTCAAAAGAAAAACTATGTGTACATTTTAGCTAATTTGATTACATTTTTTTTGTTAAAAACCTGATCTAAATTTTTACCAATTTAAACTTCTGCAGGACATTTATTAACATAGATTTTATTCCAATAAAATATTTAAAATACATTATACATTTTCTGCCATGATATATAAAATTACATAGACCAATTCTAACATTATAGCAGTATCCTTTATTAGGAATCCACCATATTGTATTCAAATATTTGTTATTAAGGTCTCCTGAAATCAGGAGTGATAAGACTGTGCTGCCAAAATTTGGAGGCAATATACCTGAGTTTAAGTGGCATGATTTTTGCAACTGATGCTGCTTTTATTCAGAATTAAGGAAGTGAATTGAAGTGGGGGACTTCAATTTTCAGCTGAATTTTGGCCTGCTTGGCATTTTTTTTTCCAGGGTTTTAAGGATGGGAACAGGTAGCATATGGAAGGCAATAATTCCCAACTCTACCCTTAATTTACAGACAACCCCAAAAATAGTGATTGCAGGTGTTATTTTGGGTTTGTTTTTTGTTTAAAAAAGGCCCTAAAATTTCAGACATCACAGACTGCCTCCTGTAGCTCTTTGGAAGCTGAGGAAGCTGAATGGCAAACCCAAAACCTTTCAGCATGAGCCACCATAGCCTTAAATAGCCCCTGTAGTGTATATATCTAAGCAGACATAGAAACTGAGTTCATTAAAATCAATCTGAATGAATTCTATTTAACCATGTTTGGGACCAGGATCAGCCTGTCATCAATAATACATACAAATATTTGACTTTCTATAAGGTTTGCATGTAATGGCACACAATTTCACCCAAATGTGCAAGGAGTGGTTTAGAGTACACAACGGTATTTGCAAGCGAGCATGATCCAAACAGCGCATGCTGATTCAGGATATGTGAATACTCTGACACGAACTGCAAGTCGCACTTGGTCCCCTCTGCAGCACAGAATTTCTTCACAGAAAGGAGACCTATTTGAAGAAGCAGAAACATGAAGAGCTGCAGTGATCTGATTCAAATAAAGTAAACATACGTTAAGAATACAGTGGTACCTCTAGTTACGAACTTAATCCGTTCCATGACTCTGGTTGCAACTCG